AATTCTCTGCAGTTCTTTTATTAACTGGGTATTGCTATGTCCGTTGCTACTATCGACCACTCACTTTCAGAACTCTCTTCTTTTTTACCTTCTGTGGTATGACTCTCTTCTGCCCTTCCCTTTCTAGTATGGCTTTCCTCTTTTTTCATTTATTATATAAATTTTTATGTTTCCAGGGTTTCTGTTCTCAATGACCTTTATTTTGCCTGTGCTTTGGGCAGTCTTTTTCCCATTATTTCAGCCCAATTTATAGGCAAAAATCCCCAAATTTTCATCTCTAGCCAAGATTTCTCCTGAGCATAAGGGCCCAATTTTTGGCTAGTGATACAACTGTTGTGTTGGTGGCTACATCATTTTATACATTGGCCATAGAACTGCACACCAAAAGGAGTGGATTTTATGATATATAAAAAAGTAAAGCTCAATAAATTATGTCAAATGGGTGCCCCCACTTCCAAAAAAAGGGCAAAAATCTGGTTGACCAACTTCCCTTTTCTTTGTATTCCTAGTACCTATTAGAGTTTGTGACATTATAGGAACTTATTGTTAGTTGAATGGATAATTAAGATAAGCATATCGGCTGAAGACTGAGTTTTGTAGTTCAAGAATCAGAGAAATGTTGAACATGACTGGATTTTTAAAAACATCAGAGAGAGCAATTACATATTTTAGAGAGAGAATTTATGATTTAGTTAATGTTTTTAATATGTACAAATATTATACCATATGGCAATATAATAAATAAAATTTAATGTAGGCAATTTTCAATTTGCCGAGTTATTATGTTCTAAAAGTTGCTATAAGTTAATTTTTATATTTGAAAATCAAAATGTATTTTCTCATTAAAGCAATGACCTATATGGTAAATAATGAACACCACTTTATGGGCAGGGTTAAGTTGTGATTAGGATAGTATTCCCAGATTTCTTCTTTTGCCATCCTCTATAAGAACACTGGCAACCACTTATATCTAACATATTATCAGAATTTGGGAGAAACATCCCCTAGCTCTAAACTCAGTGTTCAGTTGGGAATCACAGTCAGTGGTATATGCAATTTTGCCTTTTTGAACTGAGCAGTTTGAACTGTAGGAAGACATTTTGTCATTTCTTTACTATCTGCCACTCAGTTCTGAGAGGTGCATCTACACCACCTCAAAACAGGGTGGTTTCCCCCTTGCTACATGGTTGAAGCAATTGAAAACAGTCTTTTTCCCTTCTCATCAATCCCTATTAGTATCTCTTTAAATTTATTCTGAGTCTGCAACTCCTAGAAAAGATAGGGTAGAAAATAGAGGGACAGACTAGCAGTGGTCCACTGCATACCAGATCTATATAGTGCACATGCTGTAATATATGGAAATAGTGAAATGAAAAAACCTCCATATTTCTGGATACTAAAGATTATATTATTTTTCTAGTACTCTCATATGTTTAGAGTGAGAGAACCAAGTAGTAGAGTACATTTCAGTCTACTAGTACCTTGCTGTACTACTGTAAATTAGACTAAGAGAACAGCGACTTAGTCTCCACCTACCAATTAAAGAGAATCATTCTATCAACACAATAAAGAGGGGGCCCAAGAACAACTTAAAAACCATTTATGTTAAATATTAAATCTTAGGATTTTACCCCTTGTTCTAGGATAAGTAAAAAGTACCAGTGAAATCATATTGCAGCATAAAGTAAAGGTAGATTCAGAGCAAGAAAATGCCTGTGAAAAATGATTCATTAAAGGAAACAAAATTGTATAAAGCATTTACGTCACAAACTATGAAAAAGAAATATGAAGTCATAAGGAGAGAACAATTTGAGATGAAGGGGCTAGTTAAAAAAGAATTGCCAGAATATTAAAAATGTGAAGTCAGAAATACAATTTATATTGAAAGCAGTAGAGAACAGAATTAACAGTATAGAAAATCTCATCAGTGATACATAGGATTAAACCTGAAAAGTTCAAGTGTAAGGAAGAAAAATAAAACAGTTCTGAGGGAGAAGATAATATATAAAGGACTAGAAATGAAAACCCTATTTCATAAATTCCTGGGAGGGGGAGTGAGGGTACAGAACAAATGGAAATCTAAAGGAAGAAATTTTATAACTTTAGTGAGATATGTAAAAGATGATTTTGATGTATTAAAAGTCATATATTTTGGATGGAAAAATTAAGATGTGAATTCAAAGGTATAGTAGAAAATATTCTTGAGTTAATTTCATAATATATAACACACTCATTTATGCATATTAGAGGCTCACATTCCTCATAAATTAATGAAAATACTCATAGTTTTGTAAATGGACATATGAAAGAACTATTTCTCTAATTATAAGAATAAAGGAAAAAACCTCTAACAATTCTTTTTAGAGTTATAGAAATGATTTAATATTAGGAGCCATATTAATATGTTACATTAACATATTAAAAAGAAAAATACAATTTTTTGAGATTCTAAAATGACATTTTATAACATTCAATGCCTTGCTTTAAAAAATTAGCAGGAGGAGCATTTGTCCTTTGCATGTCAATACTTTAAACCAAGAGTCAACATCATACTTACAATGAAGCACTAGCATTCACTTTAAAATGAGGAGCAAGACAAAAATATCTTCTACTGTATTGTAGATGTTTTGAACAATGCAATAAAATATGAAAGCAAAACAAGCAATATATAGAAAAAGAAAAGACATTATTTGAACATAATATGATACATATTTATATATGTACACATAAGCAATAAGTTTCTGACTCATTTCACCAAGGATACAGAAGTTAAGAGAAGGGATATGAATATTTTCAGAGCAGGAATAGGTGTATCATAGTTTTTCTCATGTTCTTTTTTTCCCTTTAAGGTTGGGGGGAGCAGGATAAAAAAAGTCAATTTGTGTTGACTTTAGTTAGAGTAGAAAAAGAAGTAAATTTCTTGTTCTGCCTTTGACTCTTATACTGAGCTTATAGATCCATTACAGAAAAAAATTACATCAACAATCTATGTGCTTCTTTCTACCTAAGGGAAAATTTATAAACATTCTCTTGTTTCTTGAAATAAACTTAGCACTAGCAAGACTATATCTTCTTCGAGGTTGGGGAAGAAAGCAGAGACAGTACCCAGAGATCCCTAACAGTATCCATCTTCAGCTCTATAGTGTCCCAGTGAGCTCATCTCCCACAAATATCCAAGAGAATCTGACTACTTTGAAATTAGTAAAAAAAAAAAACTCAGAAAAACAACCACATACTCAATAAATATTTAAAACTCAATGGTTTTTTTGGTGTACTAGCAATAATCTCTTAGAAGATATAACCAGGGAAGACTCCATTTACACGGGCAACCAAAATAAAGGTTCTCGGCCTAATCTCAAAAAAGAAAAGCATGCCTTTATAGGTACAAAAGTAAACTTTACTGAGGAATAGAAAAACTTCACTGTGTTTGATAGAGAACATAAATGGCAAGACAAGCATGTTTCTGAAGTGTAATGTACAAGTACATAGTACAAGAAGTTATTTCCTCACAAATTAATTTTTTGGTTTGTCTTTGTAAAACAATCCTGACGTTCACTTGGAAGAACAAGTATATGAAAATAAATAAATTTTGAAAACAAAGACTAAATTAGAAGAATTTTTCCTACCAGATATAAAAAGTTATCACAAAATTACAATAAGTAAAACAGTGCATTACTGGCATGAGAATGACAGAGAAGTAGGAAGGATAGATGGTGCTGAAGCAAAATCCTAGCATATATGTGAAATTAATATGTGATAAAGGATGCATAGAAGTCGACAGAATGATTAGACATCAAATGATTGGGTATGGGAAAATTGATTATCTTAGAAAAATTAAGTTATGCATAAACACAAATATTGTTTATTTTCTCCTTTATTCTTTTCCAATTTTTTAAGTGATCATGGAGGAAAGTTTTAAGCAGCATTGCTAGGGTATTTCACAGAAGCCCATCCAATATAGGGATTAAAGCATTGAAAAAACGTCTGGAGGAGGTCTGAGCTCTAAGCCTAGTTCTGCCTCTATCTAGTTCTGTGACCTTAGGTAAGTTATTTCATCACTGAGAATGTCATTTCCTTAATTTAAAGATGAGAGATTTGAATTTCATTTTCTCCAGTTTTTCATTCAAATCTAAATTCTATGTTCTGAAGTATAATAATATAAAATCTAATTACCAAGCATAACAATGTCTATCTAGGGGATAGGAACATGAAATCTGGACCATATTCTTAATATTCTTAAGCATATTCTTAATATATCTTCACGGGTGCAAATGTTCTATAGTGACCATATGGATCAAGGAAAGGGTTGTGTTTGATAGAGAACATTTCTACAGCCATAGTAAACCCTGACCCAAAAGTAATGGGAATAGTATGGGTCTCTTTTCTTATCACTTCCTGGCCTGTCGCAATAGATGATTTCATGTATGAGCTTGGGTTAGTAGCAAAGCAGGTTTATATATGTGGTATGGGAAAGGGAAAACATAACTTTTGTAAATTGATGTGGAAAATCCTAAATCTGGGGCAGCAGGAAGGGAAATGGAGTTTTTATAGCCATTGGGATTCTGGCTAGGGTAGCAATTTTCTGTACAATTTTATATGTAACATGTTTTACAGAATAAGACATAATAAGCAATTTATGGAGGTTTTCTCTCTTGCTTTCTCGCTTTATCAAGGTGATAATTAAACTTGGGCTCACTGGAGCTGATTTTGATTTTTTTCACAACATACCTCTTAATATTCCCTGAACCATTTTTCCTTAATAAGTTTGGGAAGTGAAGATATGAAATAACTAGAAACTTTGGATTAAAAGCCAGTTAATTTGGAAAATGGAGATTTGCACAATGATTAGACAAGTCACTGAGGTAGCTATAAAATTACAATGATCAAGTTACTTCTGATATTTATAGTATTAATTTCTTAGCATTGAAGAAAGGAACCTATTGTATTAAAGGAATTGTTTTGTCTACTAGATCCTAATATTTATTTAAAATTAATTTCAGATTCTTTTAGTGACCACTGTACTCACTTTGAAAGAGTTGTGAAGGCTCTTCTGATCAATGCTTTAGATGAATCTTTTCTGAGAACATTGTATGGTAAGTTAATAGTATGAATAGAATAATTTGTTTTTTTAATTTTTTCAATTTTTAAACATTTTCGGTTTTAAAACTGAGGTAAGGGGCTTAGCTCAGTTGGTTCATGTGCAGTGTTGTCAACACCGAGGTCAAGAGTTTGGATCCCTGTACCAGACGGCTGCCAAAAAAAAAAAAATGTTAAATTTTAAAATAAATTAAAAAATAAATAAAAACTGAGGTTACCAGAGGTGGGAAAGGGGGAGTGGAAAGGGGTGAGGGGGAACTTGGTAAAGGGCCACAAAAAATGATTGCATTGTATGACGTTGATTATACCAATTATCCTGATTTGAGCATCACATATTGCACACATGTAATGATATTCAACTCTGTACCCCACAGGTATGTATAAACAACTATATTACAATAATAAAAAATACATATATATATATATATATACACCTTCCAGGAAGTCTTTGGTTTACGTGGTCACATAATAATGCTTAGGTTTTTAGGAATGTACAATATTAGTGGTTGTCATTAAAAAATGTTTCTAATATTAACTCAAATACTGTATGAATAATATTTATCAAATATTTCCCATGTTAGATGAACCCAGATACAATTGAATAGTACAGATCAAGTTACTGGATGTATTAATACACATTCATTTTTACTTCAATTTTAAATGCTATAAACCTGATTTGAACTGTACTTCAGGTTGATGTAATTATGTATTGCTTCATAGTAATTTTCTATTTTATGTAATTAATTTGCATTGAAAACAAACCTAATAAAAAGAAATATATGTTTGAAAGAACAACAACAACAAAAAACTATATATATTAAACAAAACCAAGGAGAACCATTTCTTAAAGCCTTCTAATTATTCCCTCTGGGATCAAGCAAAAATCCACTTGTATAAAAAGCTTGTTACTGTTTATTATTTGAGATGTGTGGAAGGTAAGTATTTGACAGATCATTGCTCTTAAACAGTTCACAGTGAATTTGAGGATATAAGACATACTCATAAAACAGCAGAGTGCTTCAACCCATGTGCTGGCTCAGCTTCTCTGAGCTCTTTGAATTTCACGACAAGTTACATGCCATTTTATGCTTTTTTGTCTTTGTCTATGCTGTTCCTTCTTAGAATATAATCTCTTTTTAATCCCAGATTTTCTAAGTGAGTGTAAAACATTTCCTCTGTGACAAGTAATACTTGTTACTCTCTCATTGTCCTTAGTATGGTGGTACTCATGTGTATGCATTTTTCATATCGTATTGAAAATGTATTTTTGCTTTCCTCCCTTACCAAAGTGTGGGAAGAACTGTATATATACTTGAGTACATGTATCCCTTGCACCTAGCACAGAATCTAGCATTTAATGGACTGTATGTAAATATGTGCCAAAATAAGATTTCATTCACAATTATTGAACAAATATTTACTAAATGTCTTCTAAGTGCCAGGCCTATTTTGGGGGCTGGGATAGGACAATGACTAAGACATAGTAGATTCCTGCCTTTATGTTGCTTAAAGTCTGATGGGAGAGACAGACAATAAATTATTAAACAAATATATAACATAATATAATATGATTTCAACTTTTGATTAGTTCTTCAAAAAAAGAATAAAGTAGGGGTACGGAGATAGAGAATGATAAGGGAAAGTAAAGTCTATGTTATACGTTAGATTGGTCAAAGAAAGTCTCTCAAGAGGTAACTTTTAAACAGAAACTTGAATGAAGCGAGGGAGGAAGTAATACATGGATTTAACAGAGGACACGGCAAGTGCTGAGACCCTTAGGAAAGAATAAGTTTGGTGTGTTCAGGAAACAACTAGAAGGTATGTGTGGCTGGAGTGGAATGAGATGGTGGGGAGGGAGAAGAGATAAGTTCAGAGGGGTAGACAGGGTCCGGAACAACTTTGTAAGCCATGGTAAGGCTTGAATTCATAGTGATTTAAAGAAGCACAATAAATTTATTAGCTAGATTCATTAAGAAAATTTCAAACAGGATGGGAAAACAAATCTTAACTTCATAGATTAGGATAGATTAGCATAAACAGAGAATGTAATACAAGCCAAATCAGGAAGGCAGAAATGAGTGAGGAAAAGGGACTCGAGGAAAAGGTTTGACCGGAAAAGAGAGTGATTGGTTGGCATGAGGGGTAGGATGGGGTAGGAGGGGTAGGAGGGGTAGGATGGAGCAAATCGTAGAGGGCCTGGAAAGCCTACTCAGAACTTTGAGCTGTCTCTGGAATTCAGTGGTTAATCCATGGCAGTTTTGTATAAGAATATAAAAAAGATAATTTGGCAAGCTTTTCCATCTGACTCTTTGTGTTATCAGAAAATAATCTTAAAGTTTGGCACTTTACAAGGAGAACTATAGAGTCTTTGTCTCTGTTTTCTTTCCCTAATGCTCTAATGCAGTTTTTTTTAACTTCATTAACTTTTTTTTTCTAATTTAAAATGCTCCAACCAAGTATGGAATATCTTCCCATAGTTTTCTTTCTAAAAGTATGGGAAGAGATTCTTAAATGTTCAATTGTTTAAATATTTCATATGGACAGTGTAATTTTTTCATTGTTGGTCCCCTGAACAGATGGCACCAGGCAGAAATCATATGCACAAGACATGTTGACATCTCTTCATTATTTGGATAACCGCTTTGTTCAGCCTCGTCTAGAGAATTTAACTTCTAGAAGTCGTTGGAAAGAGCAATACAAGGTAAACTGTTTTTTGTTTGTTTGTTTGTTTGTTTTTAACCTCTGGTGGGCAATGAGAGTAGTGGACCTCTCAGGATTTCGATATCCAGTCAGACTGAATAATCTTCTACGGTTTTGACATTTTTCCTTGTTAAATAGTCAGCTTACTATTTCTCATCTCTTCTGAAGGCTATTACTGTTTCAATCATCCACACTAACTATATCTATTCAATAATTGAGTGGTTCTAATGATGAATAACTTTAGAATACCTCTAGGGCTTAGTCTATCTTTTAAAATAAGGAAATTGTCTCACAGGATGTTAATTGTTGTTTCAGAAAAGAGTTTCATAGCCAAAGAAGTTTGAGAAACAGTGGGTTTAACTTAAACTGGTTTCTTTACTGGCGGACTCTTCAGGAGCATTAATATATGAATTTATACTGTAGATCTTCAAGAAGAGGCTATATAATGCAATGCTTTTCAAGTTTATGTTTTACTGTGAGGGTCCTTTTCATGAAATGCCTGTTATTACCTCCTAGGATGCTTGATTTCCATAAGACATTGTTTGGGAAAGACTGACCTAGACAGTGTTTGATATCCTTCTCTACCTTAGTATTTTGGAATTCTACCAATTTGAGGAAGCATCTTTTTAATTTATAAGATTTACTGGATTACATATTATCCTCTAGGTTTCTAATTTATCATCTCTAATACAGGATATACTATATGATTTTTTAAGGGTTCCCCCCCTACTTCTAACATTCTATGTTCTAATGAGTAACAAGAGGAAAAATGGAAAGATAATTGAAGTTTTTCTTAAAATCCTTCTAGCACTTAAATCATTAACTACCTTAGTTATGTCAGGAGATTTGGTTTTATCCAAGGCCTCTTCAGCCTTTAGTTACCTGATGATAAATTATCTGTGTATGGTTAGGTTTAAGAGACAGTTGTGGGGTTACAGAAAGAGTTAGAATTCTTCAAGTTGGAGGATGGCTTGAGTATAGGGCCAGCATATGTCTTTTTTTTCTTTGGATAAGTTTTTAACCTCTCTGAACCCCCATTTCTTCCACAGATATAGAAAATAATGCCTACTTTGAAGGGAAATATTTACTTACTTTGAAGATAAAATGTATAGCGCAGCTCTTAGAACACAGCATTAATATTGTTTTCTTTAATAGGAAGAAAAATAGCATCTGTTTATAGCTCATTTAACTTTTGCCAAGTAATTTATATTACAAAGTAAAGTATATTATTTAATCTTCAAAGTAACCCCACAAGGAAGGCACTGTTATTTCCTCCATTTTTAGAGTTGAGGAAACTGTAACTCAGAAGAATTGAGTAACGTAAGTTTCCACAGGTAGTAATTTGACAGGCCAGTATTTAAACCTAAGGTACTTTGGGTTCCAAAACCCATACTTCTATGGCATATTATGCCTTACCATACTATGGTAGGTTATACTGAATTTGGATAACCCAATGTTGAAATAATAAATGTAAGATACAAAAAACATTAGCTGAAAAATTTAGAGACATAGATGATTCCATAAGATCTTAGTCAGAATATGCTTATAACAAAATAACATGAGATAACAAAATAACATGACAAACAAACAAAATCTCAGTAGCTTAACCAAACAACTTTATTTTTTCACTTACATGTCCAGTGTGAGACATCAGGGGTGCTCTGCTCATTGTAGTCACTCGGGGAACCAAGCTGGTAGAGCTTTCATCTCAGAGGTTTCATCTCACTGTGTGCTTCCATGAGTACCACAGAAGTAGGCAGGGAAGGTGGTTAGTCATCTGTTCAGTCTGAATTTCAGCCTGTAAGTGAGACATGTCATGAAGTGTCATAAAGTATGAGAAATATGAAAGATAGACAAAAAAAACAATGTTGTTTTGAATCATACAATGTAAAAAAGATTGGATACTTCCTTACCATCAGGCTGATAGAGGATGGGAATGTGGATTAGTAACCATGCTAATATGCTCATTATGTGCAGTTCAGATATTATGGTAAGACCTAAACTAACCTAAACCTACATTACTAATTAGAACGGTGGTGTTTAGCACAGACCTGGAGCATAAACAAAAATACTCAGGCACAAGTAACTTCACAGCTTAATAAAGCTTATTTATGAATGCCAAGGGTTTTCTCAGTTTGTTTACTCATTAATAATTCAGTTATTAGACTGTTTATATCAATACTGGATATATAGCAATCCTAGTTCCAACTTGTTTATTTTCACAGGACTATATAGCAGATAACCATAGGAGGATTAATTTATTCCTCAAATATTCTGTGGAATATGTGATACAATTCATACAATGGAGAGTGTATGTGATTTTTTTCTCAACTTTTAACTAGCCTAAATGAATTCATCTTTTTTTTATGTTATCCTGAATTTTGCTCCTTATTCTCTTTCCTGTTTTTAATTAATACTTTATCAACACTAGCTACAGATAAGAAGGTGGAAAACAAGTAAATTAAAATCTATCAAGAATGCTACTTAGGAGTAACTCATCAGAGATATGAACCTACTATTTTTCCTAGTCTGGTTTCTTTTCATTTAATAGCCAAGATTATAAATTTATTTCTTTAATTTAAAAATATCTTGTCAAACACCTACTGTATGCTTAGTATTAGAATAAGAAATACCAATGTGTGCTGCTCTTATATTTCTTCCTATTGTGATTCCTAGATCAATTTTAATTTGGTTAGACTCTTATTTTATTTTTATTTTTTATCTCTTAAACGTCATTACATTTTTTAATTGTTTCAGGAGCGGGTAGAAAATTATTCTAATTTAAGTATCCATTCAAAGGATGCTAAAAACTGTTCCTGCCAGGCTTGTGGATTGCATCGCTGCTGTAGATATTCAGTTCATTTATCAGGAAAGTTGTATAACACCAGGACTATGGAAACAGATGATTTCATGTCACATGATAAACAGGTATTTTTTTCTTCTAATTTTAGTTTTCATCATTTAGAAATTTTCAGTTCATAAACTTGCACAAATAACCCTAAGTGATTTTCACAAAAGGAGAAAACACAAGAAGAGGGGAAAAGAGTACGATGTGAAAAATATGTCTTACGTAGCATATTCATTCCTTATTCAGTGAGTAAAATCAGTACATATTCTCTAAGCATACATCACCCAAATTGGGGAGAGGAGGAGGGTACAGGATGAGGATAATGAGGGAGATCACTAGGGTAGGAAAATCAGGAGTTCCCTTTTGAATCCAAAGCAGAATTTGAACCAAGTGGAAACATTTTTTTTTTTTTTTTTTTTTTGGGCCTTGGTATTATCAGCACCATGCTCTAACCAACTGAGCTAACTGGCCAGCCAAGTGGAAACTTTTATGGCAGATAATCCACCAGATTGGTAATCCACCAGATTGGTAATCCACAAGTAAATGTCTATCCATCCTAATATTAGAGAATTTATAGAATGCCGTGTTTCAATTTAGACTATATCAGAAGTGTGTTAGAGTCTAGGGCAATCACCAAATGCCTAAGGTGCTATTAATTTTGAATGAATAGAAAAAACTGAAGAATAAGTACTTGATAGACAAGAGCAAAGCAGTACAATGTGAAGTGGTAAAAGTACAGATGCTGCTATTTCTTTTTTTATCTTACTTTATGACTGCTGTACTTATAAAGACAAAAATGTTAATACTGAGAGCTTCCTCTGGTGAGTCTGCATATCCATGGAGGGTGTGTGTGTTTGGAGAGGTAGAGACACAAAGTCGTCTCTAAATCTTTCCAGTCAATTATTAAAATGGAAACATACTATTTATCTGAATCCTTCTACTAAATTGCATAATATGATTCCTCAGTATTGTTGGGCAATAATTGATCAGATCCTCTGAGCAATCTGGGTTTCAGAAATCATTTAGAAAGTTTGTTTGGGGATAATGAATTCAGAATTGGTCTTTAATGTTTTGTTCACCAAGTTACTATAAAAATATATTTCTTTTCTCAACATAGTCATACGCAAATTTCCCCATTGTTGAAAAAGTGGTCTATGGCTTTTTATGAGATAAGACACCTAGGATGTCTTAAAGTAATTTAGGACTAGCAAAAGTAATTTAGTACTTTAAGGGCCATGTTCTGTTGTGTAAATCAAATATATTGCTGTACATTCACGGTCTTTGCTGTGTACAACTAATCCTAGATGGGCAAGTGGAGTTAGAAAACCATTTCCAGAGCTCTGACATTCCTCTGAAGGAATAAAAATTCTATATGAAATAGTTGATTTAAATATCTAAAATATAAAAGAGGCCTTATGAAATAAAAGCAAAGAACATTAATAAACCCGTCATACAATGGAAAAATACAAAAGTTATCAAATACATGGAAAGATGCTTATGCTCCATTTAAAGGCATGCAATTAAAACTACCCTAAGATGCCAGCTGATAGCTCTTAAAGTGGCAAAGTATTTTTAAATCAAATGATAAAAGGCATTGCTATCAAGTTTGCTTTGAAACTACTGGGTTCATGGAAAGTAAGATTCCTAGAGTAAGAAAGGGTGTGGTGTATCTTTTTTAAATACTGGATAGTTATATGTAGCCAGAGTCACAAAGCTACACATATTCAGTGCCTGTATGTTTATCCTGTGCAAAGCAACTCAATAAAAGCAAATAAAATCATGAAGTTCATTGAAGCATTATTTATGATACCAAAAAACTGGAAATAATCCGAGTAAAATATTGGGCAGTGATTTAATAGCCTGTGGTATACCAGCATTATGTGATAGAATATAATACAACCATTAAAATAATATCTATGAAGGTTATGAAATAATGCTACGTGAAAGTGAAATAATAAGTAATGTATATGCTATCTTTGCATGTATGTAAAAATGTGTGTATGTGTATATAGATATATGCAAACACTAACCTAGTTATTGTGAATATTGAGAGTGAAATTGAAATTCTTTAAGGGGCCAGCCCGGTGGCGCACTGGATAGTGCGCCGCTTGGGAAGCGCGGCGGCGCTCCCGCCGAGGGTTCGGATCCCACATACAGACCGGTTCCCGCTCACTGGCTGAGCGAGGCGCGGGAGCAACACCGAGGGTTGCGATCCCGTTGCCGGTCCCCGGTCCGGTACGGGGGCAACACTGAGGGTTGCGATCTGTTGCCGGACACGGAAAAAGACAAAAAGACAAAAAAAAAAAAAAAAAAAAAAAAAA